GGAAGGGAAGGGAAGGGAAGGGAAGGGAAGGGAGGAAACAAGCATGTGAAGGCTTTCCGCTCGTGTTACAGTATTGACATAACCAGGCAGCAAGGGAAGGAAGTAGGAAGTCTCCAGATTTCTCAGGATGGCCACAGCTCTTGTCAACGTCCATTTTTAAGATAGATGGAATGCTCATCTGCATGGACACATTTACAGTACGTCTGCTTGAAGTAGAGTCCTCTCCTTCTAACTTGCAATAACTCCTTTTAGAAGGCGGAGATAAGGTTTAAAACATTCTCTGGTGGCACCTGTGTTGATACAACTCAGTGTTATGGACCAAAAATGCATCTCTTTGCAATGAGGAACTGCTTCCCACCCTCCCACTGTCTTTGATAGTTCACTTAAAATTATGATGTAAACAATTGAAATAAATAAATAGAATTTGCCTGCCTTTGAAACTACACTTAGTTTCTGTACGCTCCACTATATTTTCAGAGTCTCATTTGAAACACTCTGCTTAGTCTGTGATAGTGTAGTCCCATTACTAAGTGATGCTTCCCCAGGCAGGCAATGCCCCCGTGCTGACCGGACCCTTCTGCTGAAAGGCAACACGGGGAAGGACGCAGCCTTGCGCAGAGCTCACCCAGGGATGCCAATCTCAAAGATTCCTAGTGTAACCTTTAGCAATTCCAGGAAACCAGATCACCACATCTCAATGGAGCAGTGCACACAAGTCACAGATCTATTCATGTCAATGAGCTCTTGGGCCCAGTGTAAGTGGGTCACTGGTTTGGCAGATTTACACTCAGCTGGTTGGATGAGAGGATCCAAAGATCCCTTCTTGCTTGAGATTCTTTCAAGACAGTGGAGCTGGTGACAATTTACACCAACTGAGGACTTTGCTTTAGACCTCTGCATGTCATCCACCTTGCTGAAGAGCCAGCAGGCTGCCATCTCTGAATATATATATATTATATATTAAAGATCATTTACATATTAAAGACGATGTCACTGTCACCTAGTGGACTGATGACCATTTCCTCTGCTGAGAACCTACTGCCATGATGGGGCTGTCTTAACAAGGGCTTCATCTTCTGAGCACATTCTTCTGAACATCCCAAGGGTAGCAACATGTACCCCCAGAAAAACTGCCTGGAAATGTTTGAGTGCTGCTATCATGTGGATTAGGAAAGGAAGTGCTATCTCCCAATGGAGACTGTAGTGTCTGAACTCCTGGAGAGTTCACGGACTGTGTCAGGGAGTGCACATTCATTTTGCCATGTAATTATATGAAGAGAAGTGCTGTTATTCTGCTGTTTATCAGCTGATGGACAATGAAAACAGATAATCTACATCTATACCAGAGAATTAAAAGTGCCAGGGAGCAGTTCTGGGTTCTGTCTGAACAGTCCAGGTCGAGTTTTGGCCGGGGCCAGCAAGCACTTTCCCAAACAATTCCTGGGCACAGTTTGGAAAAGTGGAATGGCCCAGGACTGCACTCCATAGGCAGCCTGGTACAGCCACTCTGTGCTGGGGTTATAGTACGGGCACGGGTCTTTCTGCACCAGCAGGTCTTGGTGACAGAGAACAGACCTACAAACATCTGCTTTACTGGTTGAGCTCAAATTGGTTAAAAAGGACTCCTTGAAAGTGCCAGTTAAATGGCATCTTTCTTTCCAAAATCAAAGCTGTGAAATAAGCAGTCAACTTCACGAGTTAGCCCCCCAACACAGCAGCCACCTAACTTTGGCAGTACCCTAACTTCGGATCAAGGTTGAAAGAAGCAAGCGTATTTGGTAGAGCACGGCACTCCCTGCCATTATTGCTCCTTTGTGCTCATGATTCCCAGAGTTTCTACCTCTGCTGTCACTTCCCAGGATGCTCTTTGAACTCTTACATGAAAGCCAGAGGTTGAGGCACAGATTCTTCTTTCATTTATGTCAATGATAGCTGCGTTTTCCACATGCTTAGTTCCGATAAGGCTGTCATTCAGCAAAGCCTGCAGTTCGTTCATCTTCCTTCTGTTCTGTAAAAAGAAATAGATGTATAAATGTTCACTCCCCTTCCCTTTTATGTTGGAAACCAGATCTTCCTCCAAGTGGAATTTAGGAGTGTCAGCAGAAGTAATGCTAGGCCTCAGACAAGCAAAATAACAATATAAAAACCCTAAAAACAAAAGTGCAGCAGAATAGAGCAGCAGGAAGACAGTCACCTTTATCAGAAAGGCCAGAACAGTCCAGTTCCATTTTTATAATGTAAATATTTCTGGGCTCTTTTTTTCCTGCCATTTAATTTTCCTCTCACTGGGGAAATGATTCAGGGTGAAAACACTAAGAAATTAGATAAAACTTGCTATAGCCAGCAGATCAGAGCAGAAATAGCAGGGCTAGGGGTGGTTTCTGTGCTTGACCCAAACAAAAAATCATTTTCCTTTGAAATGTTCAAACCAACACCACTGCTGTTAGACTGCTGTCGGTATCAGTGTGTGGAAGCATTCACCATACTCTTCATCAGTGTGACACTACTGGGGTGCTGCTTGGGACTCAATCTGACATTTCTGTCATGTGATGGTGCCTCTGGTTGGCTGCCTAAGTAGCAACAAGAGAAGTTAAGATACTCATGAAACCTTCAGAAAATTGCCAGTAAGCATCTTACTTCAATCCTGGGCAGCTACTAGGAGCTGGCAAAAATTGCAGACAGTTCTGTTGCTGCCATTGTGCTCAAATCAAGATTAATTAGTAGAAAAGTGGCATTTTTTCATCAGTAGAGTACAGCCAGATCACCCATCAGATTTAAGTTTCAACTTGAGTTACGTGAGGTCAGTATTACATGATAATGTCTGAAATCTTGTAATAGTATTTATTATATAAATGCTATCATGTAGCTTTATTGCTACATAACCTGGGTGCGTTACCTACACGAGGGTAATTGGAAATGACATAAATGTTTCAATTAAATGGCGCTATCAGGCAGTGTAACGAATGGCCTGTCAGAAAGACATCAGGCTAGAGCCCTTATGGCCAAGTCCTGAGCATCAGGAACTATTTGGATTATAAACCAAGGAGGGAGAGGGGTTCGTGGCCAGACGCCAAGCACCACAAGCAGCCTGGCAGAAGGCAGCAGGGCCGCTGCTGAGCGTTCCCCTTCGGGCTGGCGGCAGACGGCCGGGGCTTCTGCGCCGGGTGGTCCCTTCCCGGGCCGGGCCCGAGGCTGCGCAGCCAGACTGGGCTTGGGCCGAGCTGGCTCCGTTGCCTGTACGAGCAGCTCTCTGCCCGCTCCGCCGCGGGCACTCAGAGCCACCTCCGCTCACCGGCCCCACCGCCCCGCTGAGGCGTCTTCCCCGCAACCCGCTCCCCACAGGGCCCGACTGCGCCTGCGCACCGCCCCTTGCTCCCCCACCCC